TTATCAAAATGCAACGGCAACCTTAAGCCCACTTGAAATATACCTAGATTTAAATATCAATGATAGTATACTTTAATATTACATTCATTTACTTATAGGAGAAGTAAAATAATAATTGAACGTTAGCTTAAATCCTTCTCCCGAACACCGCCAATAGAGTCAGTACGTAAAATAATAAATACTAAAAATATGTACTGGACAAACCTTAGTTCAACGCGTATGTTTACAAAAGTGCGTAACTATAGCTTTCATAGCATTTATTTTTTAGTCATCATTAATATAATATCAATATTCAGTAAAATATTAAACAATATATATATTTTAATTACTTTCGTAACAAAATCTAATAGGAAAGGGGGTATAGTAAAGGTGTAGTGTGTACCAAGGTGATGATGAGTCTACGGCCTGGGTATTCACGCACGTGTGATCATACAGCAGTTGCCGCGCTCGGCTGACACTCCGGATTAGCCGTGGGTGTTAAAAGGTCGTTCTTATAGGAAGGGAAAAAGGATAACACCTAAGTATGAGGTGCAGAAAAAGTACAAGACACATCAACGTCAATTTGGTATAGGTTTCACGGTACATAAGAGCTTAATACTAACAATGAAGAACTTCAAGGATTTAAATCCTAGAATATTAGTTTTAATTATATCGACACCTCAGTGGTTTGATATTAGTTTCGTTAACTTACACGCACTTACAGAAGATAAACAACAAGAGGAAAAGAACTTTTTTATAAAGATGTAATAATCACACCAAATATAATACCAAGAAGAAGAATTCAAATTGTATTTGGTGATTTGTATGCGAAGATTGGGAATGAAATCGCATTCAAACTACTTATAGGAAGTCACAGCTTACATGACATAAGTAATGATAACGGATTAAGAATAATTGATTTGAAAATTGAAAGTGGTTTGATAGTAAAAAGTACAATGTTCCTACACAAGATGATACATAAAGGAGCTTGGAGCTCACCGGACGGAAAATATATAAATAAAATTTATCATATACTAATAAGTTTGAGATTTAGCGACTACATTCAAGATATTCGTACTGTAAGATGGGGAAGATAGTGACTCCGATCGCTTTCTTGTTAAAGGAAAAATAAAAGTAAAACTTAAAAATCGCGCTCCATCTACTGGGACTATGCTGGATAAATATGATATGTCCCAGTTAGAGGCCGGAGAGAAGAGTTAGTGTATTAAAACCAGACTAAATGAACAGTTAAGAAATATACGTTTTGATAGCATAAAGTAAATTGAAAAAAAATGGGAAAAAAAGTTAGTATCAGAAATAGTTATGGGTAAGCAAACAAAAACAAAGAAGCTATGGTTTAATAAGATATACAAGGGAGCACAAGCTCAAATAAAAGATCTAAGGATCATATGGCTTGGTAATCCCACAAATAAAGACAAAGAGGAACATTATAAACGATACCAAAAGAAACACAATACACTAAGAGAAAAACGCTCAAAAACTGTTAAAAGAAGCAGAACAAAATTTCAGAATAAATAATATACGACAACTATATCAGAAGATAAATACTGCAATTGGAGAATATAAGAAACGAGAGGTTTCTAAGAAAAGATGACGAGATGTTAGTGACTGAACAAAGGAAGCTTCTGGAGAAGTGGAGTGGATATTTTAAGACACTCCTTAATTGTGATGACCCAGCTTACCCAACACTTTATTAACAAAAAATTGTATTACAAACGAAAAGGTTATAATTCTGAAGAGGTTATATGAAGAAACGATATTTAGAATCTACAAGATAATAGAACTGATCTAGGAAAATGAGAGACTCCCGGAATACTGGAACATTTCGTTAATGTGTCCAATACATAAGAAAAATGATCTTTAAGACTGAAAAAATGATAAAAGTTTAAAAGTTCTAATAAATGCTGTTTATAAGATTTTGGCATATTGTATCCTTGATAGGATAAAACCTTTAACGGAAGGTGTTTTGGGAGAAATACCACGGAAATTTTAGACCTAATAGATCTACAACAGATCAGAATTTTTGTATTCGTAAAATTACCCAAAAGTATTAGTAATATAATAATGAGCAATGCATTATAATTATCGATTTTGAAAAATCTTATGATTCAATTCATAGACCAATCTTAATCAACATATTAAAAGAATTTAATTTCCCAATAAAGCTAGAAAACTTGATTAAGGCTGGCATTGAAAACACTTCGATTAAAATTAAAATTGCGAATATAACATCAGAGACAGTAAGAGTATCTACGAGCTTAAGACAAATAAACGCTCTCTCTCTCGTTCTCTTTAATTTAGTGTTAGAAACGTCGATGACTTAGCCATATTGGGAAATAATTTACATATTGTGAAACTGCATTGTAGAAAACTAATAAATATAACACAGACAGTGTGGTCTAAAAATCAACGACAAAAAAAACAAAGTATATCATAATTGGGCGAGGAAGTGGAAAATACCGACAGGAAGAGGTTATAGAAGTTAAAAACCATAAGTTTAAGAGAGCACCACATTTTGAATACCTAGGATCCACAATAACACAAGATTATGACCTTAAAATAGAGGTAGACACTAGGATACCAATGGCAAATAGATGTTATTTAAGCCTAGGAAGTATGTTTAGCTTTGGCACTCAAGGCCAAAACTGAGCAGGGCTTCGGAGTTGTGGTGAGCCTGTACATCCGAAACGTGTTCAACTCCGTGCGATGGTCACACATCCTCGGAGCGCTGGACGCGTTTCGGGTGACTCCTTACCTCGGATGGATGATCCAGTCGTACTTTAGCGATTGGGTCATCTCATTACGCGATGTTCCGCGTTACGCTACCACCGCACGTGCACGTCGTCTGCTACGTGGACGACACACTGGTGGTGGCGGAAGGCGCCTCGTCCGAGGAGGCTGGATCTCGTGCGAACTGCGCGCTCAGCATAGTCACCGCCTGGATCCAGCAGGAGGGGAGTGGACTAAGACTCGCCCTGGACAAGACCGAAGTGGTCTTGTTCACGGGCAGGTACAAGTTCACTTCTCCACAGCTCGCCGTGCTAGGGGTGGAGATCCCGCTTAAGGACTCCATGACTTATCTGGGCCTTGTCATAGACAAACGTCTAAAGTTCGGGCCGCACATTACTCGTGCCCAAAAAGTCATGACTTGCTGGCGGGACTCATGCTCAATCTGAGAGGGCCGAGGGAGATGCGGTGCAGACTTTTAGTCAGCGTCGTACACTCAGTCCTCCTGTACGGGTCCCCGGTTTGGGCGGATACTCTTGAGTATTGTAATGCCGGTCGTGAAAAAAAAAATGGCAGAGAAGTCGCCGGCACGGGCATAGTCACGCTGAGCGGGATGTTCTCTAATGTGATGGTGGAGGGGCTAATCGTTGGGGAGATCTCCTTGAAACGCAAGGAATTATCCTCCCTCAGTACCGCCGCCTCCACCACACTAACCACTTCAATAGTCTGACCCGACGGTCCTACCCTCGGCGAACCGCCCCGAGACGCGCTCCGCAATCTCTCCAATATGGAGGGTTTTGGAGACGCATCCAGGGAGGTGGCCGTCGTACAAGTCCATACAATCCGTTGCCAATATCCTCCCGGCTATTTCACCGGTGCGAGTGGCTTGGTCACCACCACTCCCTGCAGTCGCAGTACCAACCACGTGCAGGAGTCTGCCTCAACACTCCTGCATTTGGCGCGTATTCAATTGATGATGACACCTGGTGGGTACGCCCCCCACCAACCGCTGGCACTGGGGCATCCGAATCCCCTGATGCAGTAACATTTACTCCGTTCGTTTCCATTATCATATAAAATAAAGTATGATTTGAGGGGGCTGTCCTCATAGCCAGTCCCTCCGGCCAATGAGCGGCGAACTTCACTGGTTGCGTTGCCGTTTAACTCCGTTCACACCCAAACGCTACCGCTTATTCGTCCATAAAGGCTTATTTCACCGCTACCCTGTATATCTACAGGATTAACAAGCGTTTAGGCGGCTCGCTGTCCGCGACCGCTTATTCGTCAGTCCAAATTAATGGACTGCTTATTTCGTGGCTAACCTGCATATCAGCAGGCCGTTCCTCTATCCGTAACCTGAGGACGCGCCCGATTCCCCGAGCTAGGGAAACTGCGCTCGTACCGACGTTTCGTAGCCCCGTAGAGCCCGATCACACCAACACAGTAGCGCAGCGAAACGGGAAGTTTCTCTCCCCTTTGGAGAAAAAAAAACGAACTCGTTTTTTATGGCGTCGTTTAAATCCCAAAGATTGTAGGGCAGAGTAGTGGTCAATGACCGGATCCTCACGAAGGACGAAAGTAGGTTTAAGACGCTCAATCGAGAACCAGACTGCCCTGCGAACACACTGAAATTTAAAAGTTTTTTCACGCCGCTCCAGTACTGTGTATGGGCTTTTGTGCTTGGCGATCGTGTGACGTCGATACGTAAAAATACATGACTCACTTTACTTAAGGATTATGCTAGCTTCGGCGTACAAGGGGTTAGCGAGGCCGAGTAGAACAATTCCCCTGGAAGAAGAAGTGAAGTTTCATAGACTAATATAGTCTAATCTTTATATGTACTCCTTTCAGCAGACATACTTTTGTAGCGACCAAAACATACGCAACGAATATTCTCGAATGTTCTCGTTATCAAAAACCTTCGAGAAACTTCGATAACGCCATAAGATAACCTACGCGGGTATAGAATATTCTAGAATTAGCGAGAGCCTTATCGGAGCTATATATATATCGGAAGAATCAGTCAGTTCAGTTAGTTCAGTTCAGACTGTCTAGTCCGCGATACGCTACACGACCGCTACACCCCGCCGCTGTTGTCATCGTGTATTATGTTTACTTCGATTATTTTATTTTTCCTTACTGTATATACATATATTTTCTTTTAGTGTTTATACGTCTATTTTAGTGTTATAATTTTGTTTAATAAAAGTCTACCGCCATTTAAATAATTGTGTGTTGTAAGATATAACCCACAAATTGGTGACCTCGACGTGATGGCGCAGACAGACGAAACAATTGCTCGAGTAGCCGTCAAGATACCGGATTTCATTTCGTCAGATCCCGAACTTTGGTTTGCTATGGTCGAAGGAAGTTTCGCCAGCGCGGGAGTCACTGTTGACAGTACAAAATTCGGGTATGTAGTTGGAGCATTACCGCCAAAATACGCAGTGGAAGTCAAGGACATAATTATGACGCCGCCCTCAGACAGTAAGTACGCCAAAATTAAACAAGAGTTGATAAGACGTCTTAGTGCCTCCCAAGAGGAGAAAACACGCCAACTTTTAGAACGCGTTGAGATTGGAGACCGTAAACCATCACAATTTTTACGCCATCTCCAAAGTCTGGCCGACTCTTCTGTTCCGGAAACGTTATTGAAGACACTTTGGATGGGCCGTTTACCGAAAAGTATACAGGTAGCGTTGGCAATAGTGAAAGATAGTAAGCTTGAAGATCTCGCTGTCCATGCGGACAACATCGCAGACGCATCGGGTCCTTTACTACCACAAATAGCAGAAATGTCGAGAAGTGACACTTTTGAAGCCATGTTGAATCTTAAGATTTCTCAACTTAGTCTAAATATTAATCAGGAGATTGCAGCGTTGAGAAGTGAAGTGGCTGCGTTAAATACTCGCCCCTCGCGTACTCCGGACTCAAGACCAAATACTTACCGTCCAAGGTCACGATCTCGAAGCCGCACTCATCATGGCGCAGACGGAATATGCTGGTATCATTGGCGTTATGGATCCCAATCGAAAAAATGCAAGGAACCTTGTAACTATAAATCGGGAAACGGGACGGGTCATCACTGATGACGGCCAGTGAGCCCGGTCAGTTTCCACGCCGTCTTTTCATCACAGACCGAACTTCCCAAACTCAATTTCTCATCGATACGGGCGCCGACTTGTGTGTTTATCCACGTAGTGCTGTTCCAGGCCACCGCGTAAAAACCGATTACGTCCTATCAGCCGCCAATGGCACGCCTATAAACACCTACGGCACTATCACGCTCAGCCTAAACTTCGGACTTCGTCGAGATTTCACTTGGAGATTTGTGATTGCGGAAGTATCCAAGCCCATCATTGGTGTTGACTTTTTAAGTTTTTACAATCTTTTGGTAGACGTGCGCAATCAATGTCTATTAGACGGACTTACACAACTCACCACTCGTGGTCACGCCGTCAAGTGCTCAATACCATCTATTAAGGTCGTCGTGGGAGAGACGAAATACGACGGTTTACTACGGGAATTTCCAGAGATCACTCGACCGTTTGGGACCCTGAAGGATATCAAACACAGCACTAAACACTTTATCCCGACGACACAAGGACCCCCGGTATCTTGTAAACCACGACGCTTAGCACCTGATAAGCTTAAGGCAGCAAAAAAAGAGTTTGAAGCTATGATCCAACTAGGCATTATCCGACCATCCCAAGGACCTTGGTCATCACCATTACATCTAGTACCAAAGAACAAAACAGATGCATGGCGTCCTTGTGGGGATTACCGCGCTCTAAATGCCCGGACTATCCCAGATCGGTACCCTGTTCGTCATATACAGGACTTCGCGCACTTTCTCCACGGTAAAACGATTTTTTCAACTATCGACTTGGTTCGAGCGTATAATCAAATCCCTGTAGCTGAAGAAGACGTCCCTAAAACTGCAATTGTGACACCATTTGGACTTTACGAATTCCTCTTTATGTCTTTTGGACTTCGAAACGCAGCACAATCGTTCCAACGATTTATTGACGAAGTACTCCGTGGACTTGATTTTTGTTTCAGTTACATTGACGACATACTCGTGGCATCTGTTTCTGAAGAAGAACACATCAAACATTTACAGATCATTTTTGAGCGACTACGCGAATACTCTCTGGTTCTCAATCCTAAAAAATGCGTTTTTGGACAACCAGAAGTAAAGTTTTTGGGCTACATGATTTCTAAAGAAGGAACACGTCCTCTACCTGATAGAGTCGCTGACATATTGAGCTACAAGAGGCCAACGTCAGCTAAGGGTCTACGACAGTTCTTAGGTATGTTAAACTTCTATCGTCGTTTTATACCTAGAGCTTCAGATGCACAATCACCACTAAGTGATCTCTTAGTACCTAATCTAAAAGGTAAAGCACCTATTAATTGGACACCAGAAGCAATTTCAGCGTTCGAGAAATGCAAGGAGGAACTCGCCACAGCCACGCTTCTCGCGCACCCATGTGACAACGCTCGACTGGCTATTGTAAGCGACGCTTCAAACACAGCGGTTGGCGCAACTCTCCAACAGTTCATCAATGACGAGTGGCAACCCCTCGCCTTCTTTTCCAAGAAACTCACGGCGACTGAGACAAAATACGGAGCTTACGATCGAGAACTTCTTGCGATCTATCTCGCTGTCAAACATTTTCGGCATATGGTGGAAGGACGCGAGTTTGTTATATACACCGATCACAAACCTATCACTTTCGCATTTCAACAGAAATCGGATAAGTGCACACCACGACAATTCAGACACTTGGACTTTATTTCACAATTCACCACGGATATTAGGTACGTTCCTGGTAAACAGAATATCGTGGCTGATACCCTATCACGCGTGGACGCATTATCAGACACGTTAGACTACACTGCTTTAGCAATGTCACAACAGGGAGACGACGAATTGAAAAAGTATGCACAAGAAAACACCGGATTGCGACTTAAGCAAGTGGAATTACCAGGCACGAATGTCTTAGTGTTCTGCGACACATCAACTTCAATCGCCAGACCTTTTGTTACAAAGCCTTTTCGACGAACAGTTTTCAATACCATACATCGCCTTGCACATCCAGGAGTTAAAGCCACAGTGAAGCTTGTAAAACAGCGGTTTGTGTGGCCAGGAATTGACGCAGATTGCAGACATTGGGCACGGGCATGTGTCGAATGTCAACGAGCCAAAATCACGCGACATGTCACAGCACCCCTTGGGTCATTTTCTCTACCGTCTCGAAGATTTGAGCATGTTCATTTAGATTTAATAATTATGCCTTATTCCGAAGGATTTCGTTACTGCCTCACGTGCATCGATAGATTTACTCGATGGCCTGAAGTAGTTCCATTGGAAAATCAAGAAGCGGAAACTGTAGCACGAGCCTTCTATACACATTGGATTGCAAGATTTGGTACCCCTCTTCGTATCACAACAGATCAAGGAAGACAATTCGAGTCATGCCTTTTCAAGCAACTTAATTACCTGACTGGTACGAACCATCTTAGAACTACGGCCTATCATCCTTCAGCAAATGGCATGGTGGAACGATCCCATCGGCAGCTTAAAGCCGCTATTAAATGTCATCAGAATAATCGATGGACAGAAACTCTTCCGACAGTCTTATTGGGTATCCGAGCAGCTTGGCGTGACGATCTTAAATCCACCTCGGCAGAATTAGTCTATGGAGAGCCACTTAGACTCCCTGGTGAATTCCTCACGTCAAATAATAATACCGCCAAGTGCGACGACGCAGCTGAGTTTATCAAAGACCTTCGACATCACATTCAGCAGATCCGACCAGTCAATGGTACACGACATGGCGAGAAGAAAAATTTCGTTTTCAAGGATCTAGCAACCACAGAGTACGTATTCATTCGACATGATGGGCCCAAAAACGGAATTCAAATGCCCTATGATGGTCCCTATCGAGTCATAAGTAGGAACGAAAAAACTTTTGTTATTGATATTAATAAGAAGAAAGTTACAGTTACTATAGATAGACTTAAACCAGCATACATCATGGCAGATGAATACTCTAAGGAAAATATTCCGAAAAAGATCCAGACACATACACCCATTACCATTCCCAGGGAGGATCAAAGGACACGTTCCGGAAGAAGAGTCCATTTTCCAGACCGTCTTCAAGTAGGCTCCGCTTGACTCCGTCACTGGTAGGGGAGTGATGTAGCGACCAAAACATACGCAACGAATATTCTCGAATGTTCTCGTTATCAAAAACCTTCGAGAAACTTCGATAACGCCATAAGATAACCTACGCGGGTATAGAATATTCTAGAATTAGCGAGAGCCTTATCGGAGCTATATATATATCGGAAGAATCAGTCAGTTCAGTTAGTTCAGTTCAGACTGTCTAGTCCGCGATACGCTACACGACCGCTACACCCCGCCGCTGTTGTCATCGTGTATTATGTTTACTTCGATTATTTTATTTTTCCTTACTGTATATACATATATTTTCTTTTAGTGTTTATACGTCTATTTTAGTGTTATAATTTTGTTTAATAAAAGTCTACCGCCATTTAAATAATTGTGTGTTGTAAGATATAACCCACACTTTTTTTGCCATATGCAGAAGGCGTTCAAAACTTAAAAACTTAAACGAAAAATACGTATACATGGAATAGTCCATATATTTATTCAAATTTAAAAGTTAATGCTCAAATATAATATGTCTAAATTATACAAATTTTATTTCAATCAAATTAAAGATTTAAAAATTCCTTCAAAAAGTAATTTTTTAANTTATTTCAATCAAATTAAAGATTTAAAAATTCCTTCAAAAAGTAATTTTTTAATTATTTTAAGTTTAATTAAAAGTTAATAAAATTTTTTGTTGAAAAAATATTTAAGAAATAAAATAGTACTACTATTAATAGTAGATTCTAATCCCCCCCCCCAATAAATATATATATATATATAACGGATTAATAAAAATATAATTATATATTTTAGGGTGAATAAAAAAAAAAGACGTTTTTCAAAATTTTAATGAGAATCATATTAAATTAATTTTATAATATTAATTAAAATAGGCATTTTGTTATGATATGAGAATTTCAAAAAAAATTTATTGGTCGCTTAACATGTTTTTATCAAAAATACCCAAAAAAATAAAAAACCACCTCTGTTATTTAATTTTTGGTTAAATATTATGATTAGTATATCAAAATAGTTTAATTTTTACTCTAGAATACAAATTTTTAAGTATCAAAATTTTAAGTCAAAAATTAATGTGGTAATAATTATATGGTATATTTCTAGTAGGTCTCAATTAAGCTTAAAATTTAAAAATAAAAAATTTTATGCAGTTTAGCTGATATTTATGTATATTGTAAGTGGAAAAAAAATTATTCACTAATGTTAAAAACTTATATATATTTTTTTTAATATAAAGTAAACTAAAATATATGTTATTCTTGAAAATATTTTTAAATAACGGTTGAGCAGCACTTTATAATTATAATTTTTATCAAACAATTCATTTATACTAACAGGCACGTAGACAAGGGTGGGCCTGGCCCCCCTTAGATTTAATGTGGCCCAGGGCCGGCCCCCCCAAATTTAAAATTCAATTATTTTTACGAATTATCAAAAACGTGCTAGGCCTTATATACATTGAAATTATTATTAATTTGTGATTACTATTGAGTAATACAGTTATTATTATGGCTGTATTTTCATTTTTGTATTCATAGAAAACGTTATTTGAAAAATATAACGTTCTAGGCGTAATAATAAATAGAATAGTAATTACTCTAAATGTGGTTATAGGTAAATTTTTTTAACTCTGGTCCAACAAATGATAACAAACTACCAAGTATCTGCATTGATTAGAATCTAGTTGATTACAAAATTCGATGAGTATACTCTATGGAAAATTTTTTGATAAATCTTATCTTTAATTTGTTTCTTTTTTTATAATTTAGTAGTAATAAAATAGGTAATTTATTTGTTTTTATTAATTTTTTATTTGCGTGCTCTAAATAATAGTAATAAAAATATGACTAAAAAAAGGCAGGAATTGTTTTTAATTTTAAATAAAAT